TAATTACAAGACACACCCAGAAAAGTATTTTAACTTGGTAAAACCATGAAGAAAAGCATTTATAAATCATAAATGTCATGTAATGAATAAGCAGATAAGATCAACTTTGAGTACTCGACAGTTAGTCCTCATACCGTATGTTGTTTAATGCATTAAGTCTGAATTTTAGAGATACCTACAACCCCCCACGCGCCTCTCCCCATCAACACGGAGGCGGCAGGCTGGGCCGGTTTTACTATCTCTGGTGAAGGAATGGAGTAGGGTTGACACGACCCCTCCACGCCAGTTGGGTACCTGTCATACAGAACAGTGGGGTGGAAAATTGGTGCAGCAATCCTGCCTTGAAGGGGCAGAATAAAAGGGACTTGGGTGGCAAATTCCTTCTCGAAGCTGCAGTGTGCTGTGAGGCTTTAAACTCTGAGCATGTGAGCTGGTTAATCTGGCACCGTGTACAAAATACTTTCACCACAGTGCACATACTGAAAGTGGCCAGGAAATCAAACTGTGGACTTTTTACTGCGTCTGATAATTTCAGTTCTAACATCAGATGAGTCAAGCCAAACCCAGTAGAACCATCAGACTCTATTGATCCCAGTGGGAAATCCACCAGCTACCCAGCAGGATGGAAAGTACTTCACAGTATAAGTATATAAGGTAGTTACCATCAGCTCCACCTTTAGCAGCTGCAGCATTAAAGTGATGAACACAGTAACATATCAGTCTCTATGATCCAGTATCAGAGACATTACTGGGACACGGGCTGTTCTGCAGGACGAGTACTGGTACTGCTGGTACTTCATGTTTATTCTGATGCTGATACTTCAGTACTTTTATTTAAATAGCATTTTGAATGCTGGAATTTTAGTTGTAGTGGTACTTTTACACTGTGGTATTGCTGCTTTTATTGAAGTAAACAATTGAAATCCTTCTGCCAGCGCTGAACAGTTGTGCGTTTGAATCTTTGTGTCATTACACCAGCAGACTGTCAGGTTTTTTCAGTGTAGACGTGTGTTGGGTGATGTACTGTAGGTGTGTTGGTGCCGGGCTGAGGACCCCCATTAGTCTAAGTAGGGGGTCTGAAGTACCGTCCCCCCATTAACACAGACATAGGTGTGTGTGAGAGATAACTGGCGGCTCTCACACCCTGACGCCTCACTCACAAACAGACACACGCACACACACACAGCCTCCTGTCTGCATTTTCCAAACCCGTCCCACACACTTTGTTCATCCTCAGGCTTCTTACACATACAGACACACTTGGTCAGCCCATCATACACACTTCACTTCCACACTCACATGCCGCCCTGCTGACTCACTTACCATGAGACGAGTGCATGGATGGATGCAAGTGACACACACATACATCACAGTCAGTAGATATGGTGTGTGCTGGATGCCATGGTCTTGCTCAGGGGTGGTGTCAGACTCGCTGGCATCAAGATGACTGGCTTACACGATGACCGGTTAGTCATGTACTGTGTGTGTGAGTGATGACTTCACCCCCGTGCTATCAAAGTCCCAGTCCACAGTGGGTGGTGTTGCTTTTTCCTCCACATATCTCTTGATTTAGTTTGTAAAGTTTCCAATATCAGCTGCCGATACTGTGCGGGTCCTTAGCCAGGTGCACGTCTCATTGTGTTATCATTGATTGTTACTACTGTAATATTTGTATCAACAGCTCCATGTGATTTTGTTATCAGGTTCCCATTACCATAAAGCACCAATCAGCTGCCGATTCAAAGTTTTAACTACTTTAACATTGATTGCTGGTACTATAGTTTATACTGTATCAAAAAGCTTCTCAGCTTTTCATTATCACATGTACTGTGCATATACGGTACTTTCTATTTTACCACACCGGGAGGAGAAGAAGGCCTCTGGCACGTTTGAGGTTTGATCTTCCATTAAAGCCAACGTCTGACACCGTAATGTTTGGACCTGCAGCTGATCATGATGACTGCTGACATGTGGATATCACACAGACGTGAGGCAGTATTACCGTAAACTGAAATTGGTTGCTCTTACTGTACTACATGCATTATTAGTGACATTGGTTGATGGTTCTCTAAGACTTAATTTGCTGTTTGAAATATTTATGATGTCATCAATATTGATCGTTGTTCCTACTGCAATGCCTGAGTCATCAGTTGGTACTCAAGTTGTTTTTCTTTAGTTTCTTACCGTAATGTTTGGATAAGTAGTGCAGTTAGTCGGAATGTTTTTATTGCATTAATTTGATTGTTGTTACTGTAACTGAAGTGGCTACTTACTGTAGCTTTTGACTACAAGACAGTTGTTGTTACTAGTGATGTGCTGCTTCTCCACTGTGTCGTTTTAATAGCTGGGGTCACTGAGATAAGATTTATGTATCCCAGAGGACAAGTTGGTGTCCACGTTGGTCATTATACAGGGTAAAATAAATACATGCAGCAGACGTACGACAGTCTGTGCAGAATAGACATGAATGAGAGCGCAGGGCATCACCACAGTGTTCATATGTTACAGCAGCTAAACTCTGATTGTCCAAACTGTAGATCTGTTTTGTTGATTTATTCTGTACATGCAGCATCTATTTCCTGTCTGTCCGACCTAGAAAAGGGTCCCTCCTCTGTTGCACCTCCTGAGGGTTCTTCTTTTTCTTCTGTTGAGGCGGGTTCCTAATCCGATTCAAGGGCCTGACAGAAGGGGCCGTGTGTCGTATGGACTGTAAGGCCCCTTGAGACAAACTTTGATTTGTGATATTGGGCTCATCTTCCTGTTTCGCCATACAGTATGCCGTACACAAAATAAAGTTAAACTGTAATATTCTGCCAGCTGGAGCACCAGAATATTATTAAAACAATAAGTTGTCTAAAAATACAGTAATTTTTTGTAACTTTAAATGTAGTTTTTCCTCTTTAATTTTAAATGAAAGTTTGTGTATTAAAAAGGTTTTTAAAAACAGATACTATCCCAGGAATTTTCCCTTTATAAAAATGATAAAACAGATCATTTTAAATATATTGACAATATACTGCAAATTTAAAAATACATTTATAGTATTATTAGTGAGTATTCATTGTAGTTTCACAAAAGTTTTCACAGTATATCTATATTTTATTGCCGTTTTTGTGTATTTTGGCAAAATCTGTAAAATACATTCGGCAAATAAATTCTGTAAAACCTACAGGTTTCAGTTTGCTGTCACTGAGCCAGCGCCCCCTCCTGCCAGTGGGTCGTCATGGTGACCGGCTGCACCTGAGAGGTGGCGGTTGCCAAGAACACTGAGGGTTTACTCTCCTGGGGTGGTCCCTCTGTCACTGGGCAGCCTCACTATGCCCCAGTGCTCTCACAGCCACGTAGCCTTTGTTTAAACTTCAGACAACACTCTCACACCCTCAGCCCGACTCGCTCTGCGCTTATCCCCTCACCTAGTTCGACTTTTTTAGTTTAATAACCTGAACTGGCATTTGCACCCTCAGTGTTTGTGAACTCCCCATGTTGTTACAAACCAAGTTAGTAACAGCACTGATTCCTAAATATGGCCATTACAATAACTTTACTTTCCGTGCACTGGTCCCACGCTTAATGTGCATTTTTATTTAGTGCAACAAATGAAAACATTATTTCGGTGTAACTGTCACTCTGCAGATATTTCTCACTCCATCTGTTCCTTTCACACAGCTGTGTTATGCAAATGTTATATAACTGGCTAGTTTATTTACATGTGCTCATAGTTAATTACCATTACCAGCTCCCACTAAATGTTGTGTAGTGAGGTTATAATAAATACAAGCAGGTTGGCCAGTGATGAGTCTTGAAAGCTTCTCAGCCGCTGAGATGGCCCGGCAGGGGCGGGGCCAGTAGGGTGGGTCGCCACAGTGGGCTGCTGACTGCAAGGTTGTTGCCGGACATGCAGCATCTGCAGCGGCAGCCTTTTCTGTGACTCAGCATGAAGCTCCCAAGTTCATGCTGTGGTGCTCGTGATTATGCAGGCGTCTTAAAAAAAAACTCTGTTTAACTATTTAACCTTTAGCTTCCTCTGACAGTTTAGTTTCTTTGGTCGCAGCTAACAAAGTTAGCATCCTTCACTTTTTGTATTGAATACGAACGACCTTACTTACTCTGTGACCTACCAGAAAACATTCAATAAGTCAACACATTTAAATCAGATTAACAAGACAGAGGTTCACAGAAGCTGTTGAGTAAATTTACAAACCTAAGACAGGAGTTTACACAACATGCAGTATTTAATGAAGACAACATGTGCTTGTGTTAGAAGAACAAACTGTGTTTTGACTTGACCCCTTCCTCTCATACTTTGGAATTCTCTTTTACAGTGTGACAGCCTTGGTGTTCATCCCCGGTGGCTTGTTGTGGGCAGCAGCAGCTTCTCATCCCAGCTGTGAATCTCAGCAGCCCCCTCGCTGGCCAGCGCACCACCGATGGGGCTGCTGTGCATCAGTGGATCAGCGGTGACTGTGTGGGCGGTGATGAATTTGATAGGATATGAACGTGGAATATCACTTATGATGAATGTTGTCCCCCGTGTTATCTGTTCCGTCTCTGTGGCGACATGTGTGGGCGGGTCCCGCTCGCACAGCGATAATAAGCCTTCAGTCAAAACAGTGAGGAGGAAACAGAGCTTGCTTTACTGGTAGGAATAAATAGACACAGCGGATAGTTAGACAGGTCGATAAATAGATCGATTGGTAGTTACAGTATGTGCTGTGTTCTGGTTTAAACGTCTCAGCTCAGAGTGCTCCTACACCCACATCCTGCACAAACCTGTGGTGTCAGGTTTGTCAAATCACAGACTGGAGGGAAACGGTAGTTGCATTTATATAATCGCCCACCCCCTGATCGCTCGGTCGCTAGCATCTTCAACACCAGATACTGAAAACTCCCAAGTACAAAAAATCTGCAGATGAGTGTGTTGTGACAGCTTTTCAAGCGGTTTCACATTGTGACACACAGACACACTAAATAAGGCTGGTGTGTGTGTGTTTGTGTTGCAGAAAGTGTCCAGATGGGTTCAACTGTCTGAAGGTCGGAAAGAACCCCAACTACGGCTACACCAGCTTTGACACTTTTGGCTGGGCCTTCCTGTCCCTGTTCCGCCTCATGACACAAGACTACTGGGAAAACCTCTACCACCAGGTAAGGCTCACAGAAAGGCTTGGTTTCATGTATGTGTGCATACTAAGCAGTATGCAGTATGTGTAGTTTCTCTCCTGTCATTCATGATGTAGCCACATAAATACCGACTGGCTTGCTGTATGAAGAAGACCTTTTTCTGTTGCTTTTCCTGTGTGATTTTCTTATTTTTCATTTTATAATAATGGTAGTCAGGTCAAAATAATATGTAAAGAACTGCACAGACTGCAGTATGTGCAGTATTTTAATTTAATTCATGTTAATTGTTTAGCAGAACATAAATTATTTTGTATTGACCCTTAAAGAACATACAGATGTGGTGACAGTGCACAAAGATCGTGGTTCAGTTCATTTTTGGTACAGGAAGGGGAAATTTTTTTTTTTTTAAATATATTTTTTATCCTAATCAAACTGAGAATTAAATCAATTTTTTAAATTTTAAATGAAACAAATGAAATGTATAAAACTAAAGTAGAATAAAAAATAGAACGCTCTAAAAACCAAAGAAAAGCTGTTTAAATGATGAAGTGTTGTTCATTTTCAGATGAGTTAACAGGTCTGACGTGTTGCCATAAACACGCCCGGTCACCACTGAACGAACATATTAAGTAGCCAATGGGAACGCAATAAGTCAACGAGTCATGATGACCACTTGTTCTGCACAGGTCTCCTACATGTGTTATACCTGTGTCCTTCACTCCTGTTAACATGTGCTCATCTTTTGTGCCTGTAGACTCTGCGTTCGGCCGGAAAGACCTACATGGTGTTTTTCGTGGTGGTGATATTCCTGGGCTCCTTCTACCTGGTGAACCTCATCCTGGCCGTGGTCGCAATGGCGTATGAAGAGCAGAATCAGGCGACCATTGCAGAGGCCTGCCAGAAGGAGCGGGAGTTCCAGCAGGCCATGGAGAAGCTAAAGAAAGAGCAGCAGGTAGACCGGCTGTTGTTGCTGGTTTTTAACTATTGGACCCAGTTTCCTGAGCTGGATTTGACTGGTCTGCTTATAGGATACGCCCATGGGTTTAGTACACACCTGTTAGAGAATTATCATCACTGTAGCCTCCGATAGGGTTGGGTTTAGGTTTGGAAATCTAAAACCATGTACCCACTTACCTTCTGCTTTACCTTCTGTTCATGTTTTTTATGTAAAAAAAAAAAAAGTACACTTTATAAATATTTATCATTCATACATTTCTAGTAACAATGTTGTAATCCCTTATTTTATACCTTGTTTACTACAGTTACATTTTAGAACACTACTTTTAAGGACACACACTTCCTCCACCAGGTTGCCTCACAAAAAATTCTTGACTCGGACTCGATGAGGCACCTTCCAGCCCACCATCGGACAGCTGGCAAGAGCGGAGGCAGAGCCAAGTGCTGGTGGGCGTGGCTGACGTGGAGGCCAACCTGTCAGAGGAGAAGTTGCTGCAGGTGGACATCGTGGATGGGGCAAAGGTGAGGAAAGAAGAGTGTGAAGTCTTTTTATTCTCTGAGCTAAGAGCTAACACCTCCCTCTTCTCCTCCTCTAGCCGCTCCACCCACTCCTCGCTCGTTCGTTTTCCACAAGGACTCGGCGAAGCAGTCAGGTGTCCTCCATCTTCAACTTTCGTCTGAGAAGCCGGGGGTCGGAGGGGGAGATGGCTGACGACGAGTACAGTGTCCCAGGTGATGTGGTGGACAGCGTTGGAGGCCGAACCTACAGCGGCGGGACATTCAGTGGCATCGTGCCCAATCCATGGCCCAAACGGCGACCGAGCACCTATAGCACGGCCAGCAGGAGCTCGCAGGTGAGCTGCACATGCACATTTTCATACATGCACATATACTGTATACTGTATATATGCAGTACTCAGGTCTCTGTGCACACTCTCATCTCCTCCTCCTGTTTGTGTTTCCAGGTATTTTACCCAACTTTAAACATCAATGGGAAGGTGTTTGTTACCATGGACCAGAACGGGGTTTCCCCACCACCGATGCAGGGCCAGCTGCCTGCATGCACCATGGAGAAGGTCAAAGAGGAGAGCGTGAGTCCTGTACACTGACTGTATATAAACACTGGATAAACCCACTGTGACGTCACCCACTGGTGGGGCCACAGTGGTGTGGTGGGTAGAGCAGTGCCTGCAGTTCACATGTCAAAGTGTCCTTGGGCAAGACACTGAACCCCAAGCTGCCCGGGGCCCTCGGCTCCATACAAAATTTCGTTGTACGTGTCACAATGTTACATTAAAATAAAGCTGCTTCTTCTTGATATCTGAAGAGCTGCTGTGAAGGTCTGGCCATCACCATATTGGCAGCGCTTCACTCCACCTGCTAGCTCTAGTCCAAAAATGGGCAAAGAGGCGGTGCAGGAGTGGAGCTGGCTAGGCAGCTAGTGGCTAGCCACCTATGGCGGGAACATTAGTGGCCACGCCCTTAATTAATGCATAACTTTGAGTTGTCATGGAAGGGTAAAATTAGCTCTAGAGACCTAAACCATCTTTTTGTTCCAGGCTGTAAAGTTGGGCAGTTTCACACGGGAGCCTATGGGGACTGACTCCCTTTTGTAGCCTGCCTCCTAACCTCTAGTGGCCGTTCAAGGAACTGCAGGTTTAAACACTTCTGCATTTCTCAGCCTCAGAGCTTGCCACTTGATACTGTGTCCTGAGCGAGTAGGTGTGTCTGTGTACATGGTTGAGTAGAAACATTTGAGTTTAATACTGTTGTTGTGAGGACATGTTGTCTTCACCCCATCAAGGCCTGTTTGAGGGTTAGGATTTGGTTTCAGGGTTCAGGTTAGAACCAGGTTTAGGTCAGGGCGAGGGGTTGGGGGCGCATTATGTCAGTGAGTGTCCTCACAGCTATAGAAAGACCAATATGTCTGTGTGTGTGTCCTTTGCATGGAAACAATGGCGGAGCCTACAGCCATCCGACTCTCAGACATGTGGGTTGTGAATCAGCGCTTTGCATAACTGCACTCTGATATCATGAGCTAAACACACAAACACACACACAATTGCATCTACCAGCTCAGATAGCAGTGCTGTGGTATTCCCTCCATCCACACACACACACACACACACACACACACACAGTGCCCCTGCTATGGCATCATGTGCTAAAACCACACATACCAGTACAGGCATGTTACTAATGTGTCCTTCCTTTGCACACACACTCACACACAACACACACACACCAGTGCTGCTGCTAGCAAGATACACACAACTTCATGTTTTTGCTTTTTCTCACAAAATCACTGCATTCACACCATTGCTGATGTAGAACACTGTGGATTTAGTTGCTCCAAAGCCAACAGAATGTTTTAAATATTAATCTGGATTCTTTTATCACCAGACCTAAAACATCAAAACAAGGTCTGTTTAGTCACTCACAGATTGATGAAGGAATGTTTGGCATCTTTAAAATCTGATTAGAAAGAAAAGAAACTGGAGTCTTAAGGTGGCGACGCACAGAAACTGCCTAGCTGATTGTGGTTATTACTATTACGGTTCTTATAACGGGTTGTTTTCTCATTTTGATCATTTCTGATGAACTTGAAATTATGAAAACATTTCAATTTTCACTTTTCATGTTTGGAGTTTTAGTTTGACCATGACTTTGTCTACCGATGTTCTGTCGTGAAATACAGTGTCAGACCTATGGAGCAGGCAGGCTGAGATTCAGTCTTCTCTCTCTCTCACAGAAAACCCGTAGCAACCAAACGCCAGCAGCTCTGTGTCATAAAGGATTCTGTTTATTTTAATAGTGCCTACACTTTTCTTTTCCCCATCAGGCACTAGGTCAGAGTATCACAAGGACAAACAGAGCTGCTCCATGCCTGGAGGTGTTCAGTCACCTCCACCTGCTGACAGCCAGCCCCTAGGCCTACACTGTTATATAAGAAAAGGAAGGAGTGGTGTGACCACTTTATTAGGTATATTAGTACAGTCTAATGCAATCCAGTGCAACTGTTCTTCTGTGTTTCTGTTGACATGCTTTTTGCCTCTAAGCAGTGAGGTCGTAGTCGAGGGTGTAGCTGTTGTAGTGACACTTTATTTTACAGGTTTCCTGTAAAGAGCCCTGTGGTCTGGTGCTAATCACAGAAAGATAAAGACAAAGATCTGAGACTGTTTTTTTCAGTTAGTCCACTGAGTTGTGTTGAGTTTATTATTGGCTTCCAGGTGAATTTTCATGAAAGGAATTGCTTAGTTTAAACCCACAGGTCGACACACTACTGACAAACCACAAGTCCATCTTGTTTTATTAAATGAGTCTTAGTCATTGTAGAAATTTGTTTCCTGCTGTTGAGAAGTTCCAACAAATAAATAAGTGAAAATTCCTGCACAGTTTTGTAAAGTTGCTCTTTACTGAAATGTCGCCTACTGAATGGAACCTGCAGGGGCTGTGTGGGACCGTACAGCAGTGCTGAGTTTCATCGTTTGAAATGTTCCTGCTTCCTGGTGTTCGTGAAGAGCACCAACGTGTTGCCCTGCTGCTCAGACTGACGGAGAGACAAGTGGGTGGAGGATGGACTGAGCAAACACTTGGATGCCATGGAAATGTTACCATAGCAACGCACACCAGTTAACAGAAGCTAAATTAGTGCTCAGCTGGCTGCTGTTTCTTATATATTTAAATGTGTGTGTTTCCGTGGCACACAGACAGGATGTAGGCACAGCCATGGGCAGGGACCTTAAGGTCCATGTATCGCATCTCATTGGAGGAACAGTTGCAAGCGTTATGCAATCACACCTGAGCAAGCTAGGTTCATGTTTGGGAGCGCTGTGAAGTCCTGAGCCCTCTGTCACATTCTCTGAGCAGATCTCTAGTTCACATTTAGTGGAGATAGTGGCGTTTCAGAGAGAACAAAGAACGGCTAAATGTGTAGAAAGTGATACACAAACACATTTAGAATACTCCTGTTTGGTGGAACACTGCACTGCTGCCAGTAGTTTTGTAGTCATTTGATTGAGTTTCCACCAGAAAGGTTAACAGTTCCATCACGGTCCTCTGATTCATTCCATTCCATTTCAACTTTATTTATAATGCACTAAAAACAACCAGGGTGGACCAAAGTGCTGTACAGTGTAAATAAGAATATACAATAAAAATAAACATAACTTACAAGTACAGATAAAATCAACACCAATATAAGATATCAAAACGGCAATGAGAATAAATGAGTTTTCAAAGGGGACTTAAAAACAGGGAAAGAAGAGGCTTGTCTGATAGTCATCTACAGGCGCCCTGCTCCCTGGGCCCCTGGGCCTTTACCTGGTAGGTCAAGGCAGTGATCCATCCATGCCTGACCTACTGGGTACAGGCCTGACCGTGCACTTAAACCAAGTCTTCACCCTAAAATTCACTGATTTCCATGGTGAGGACCAGCATCAGGTCCCCACAAGGCAGGCCAAGTCTTCACAATGTGGATGTGTAAACAGGTTTCTATCTGGACTCTGTCGGTAATACCAGGCGCGCGCACACACACATACACACACACACACACACACACTGTACACACTGAACAGTGGTCATTACCTGTTGCCCTGTGATAACAAACACATGCACAAACACACAAGGAAACAGCAGCATCGTGTTTGACCCATTTGACCTGACATAAACCTGTGAGTGATGCTGTCACCATGGCAACAGAGAAGTGGATGACAGCTTATACTCATGAATGAACCTTTAGCATGTGTGTCTGGGTCTCAGTGTGTATGTGTTCATGAAGCTGTGTGTGTTATGTTTGTGTTCCAGCAGTATATTTACTGTATATTATGAAGAGGCTTTGCTCCAGTTTGTGGTTCCACATTCTGAAGTGGCTGTGAAGAGCGTAAATGATGCCATCCTGTCCCACTCTCTGTCTCAGGTCCCCACATCCAGCACAGAGCTCAGTACGATGCTCTTACCTCGGCCGTCGTCCACACAGGGCTCGGAGCGGAGGGGGAGGGCTCTCAGCGCTGCCAGCTATCTCACTGATGCCATGGAAGGTGAGGGCATCAAAACAACCAGCAGTGACAAGTGGTAACACATGAGCAACAGGCTTGTCTTTGAAAATGCACACTTCTGATTGGCTGACAAATGTACACTGTCTGGCCAGTCTGCTTTGTGTAACCAACTAAAATAACCAAGGGTCAGATTTAAAGCTCGTCTACCTAAAGTCTTTTCAGCCTAGAGGTTCCAGTGAGACTCGAACTGACACCATTAGCAGCTCCTAACCACTCTCCGCCCCTCACCTCACACCAAGTTTTGCTACAACATAAACTACAGATGTCTGGTTGGGACAAACTGTATTGCTGATGTTACACAAAGCACTGACGTTACACCAAGCTCCAGTTCCTTCCAAATTAACATCATAAAAAAACTAAACTCAAAGGTAGCATCCTGACCATGCTAGGTGGCTAATGCTACCAAAACAAACAGGCTAGCTTCAGATGCTAACACATCCAGAAGAAAGAACACCACATCTGGATCCAGTCTGAGTCCTCTGGCTGCTTTTAACCATCTCTTCTTAAAACAACCAGGAATGAGAAGGACAGTGTGTAAGGAATGATGCTGTTTGTAACTTGATTTCCTTTGCTTCTAGGCAGCCGCTGATCTTGCATCATTTCTGTCCAAATGAATTTTTACAAACCTAGTTAATACAGTGATATTAGCTGAGAAAGGGTCTCTGCATCACCTCCCACTCCCCATTCATATTTATGTGTTTTTGTAATTATGTTTCAATACACAACTGTAACCTCGTCTGACTTTTGTGTTTTCACTTTTGTGGGTGTCTGTGTGTGATTGTGTAACCATGTATTTGGCTGAATTTTGCATCTAAGTGAGTCTGTTGACGCTGTGTGTGTGTGTATTGATAAGGGATTGTGTAGCCATGTCTGACTTTGTATCTGTGTGCATGTGTGTGTGTTGTTGCCCCAGCCAATCCCAGGGGAACACTGGCTTTGTTTGTGGGAAACAGAATGACATAAAGGGGGAGGGGCATTATCCTGGCTACCATCATCAGCCATGAGATCAATCCAAGTTTGTGTGTGAGATGAGTTTTGGGTTCATATCTGTCCAAATCCACATTGATGTATGTGTCTGCTGAGTCACCGTCTTCCCCCTCAGCAGCGGCTGCTCTTAGAGAACAGATCATTATACAGGAAGATAGAGAAACCCACTGCCTCCCGCCTCATTCCATCATCTGTGCACCCTTCTTTCCTTCCCTTCCTCCTCCCTTTCCTTCTTCTATCCTGCTCTTTTTTTTTTAACTGCTTCTGTTGTGTACTTAGAGTTGTGTTCAACATAAACAACAACTCTGTTCCTATCTGAAGGGCGGTGCTTGTGAGATATGGCTTGTTCTTTAACCTTGTCAGGATTATACCTGTTTCTGTCCCCCCACCCCCCAGTCTTCCTCTCTATCTCTTATGTAACTGTATTTAGCTAACTCCTCTCCTCATGCTTCCTCCTGTTTTGTCCCGGGACGTGCAGAACTGGAGGAGTCCCATAAGAAGTGTCCCCCCTGCTGGTACGTCTTTGCCCACCGGTACCTGGTGTGGGAATGCTGCCCCACGTGGCTGAAGGTGAAGCAGCTGGTGAAGATCATGGTAACAGACCCCTTCCTGGACCTAGCCATCACTGTCTGCATCGTCCTCAACACGCTCTTCATGGCCATGGAGCACCACCCTATGACCGCGGAGTTTAACTGCATGCTCAGCATTGGCAACCAGGTAGGCTGGAAGGAAAGCGGCGTCCTGGTGTCGTGTTTGTGACTGATACCAATATGGATCTATATGGGTTCTGTGATACGTAAAACAGTCTGTGTCATCAGATACAATTTGTTTTTGCAGAGTAATTTTTCAGTTAGATTTTTGATTTAGATTCAGACCAGGTCTAAAAAAGAATTTATGTTTAACATCAGATTTACTCTTAAAAGCATTTTCTTAATGTGCAAAGTGGTGTTGAAGAACAGCTTTCCACACTGTGTTGTAGGGCTGCAGGTAACAAACCACAGCAGGCGTTCATGCCTATGTGTGCAGTAAACAGACTCGAGGTGGAGGCTGTCTGGGATGTGAAACTGCCTCAGTCCCTTCTGTACACTTCAGAGAGGAACAACAAACAGTAGTGTCTCTGGTTTGGGGACAGAAGTGTGTGTGGTGTGTCTGCCTCAGTGGAGCAGCGAGGTGGGGTTCAGGAACTGACAGAAACAGGTCGGAGAACTTTAAACTGCTGTGGCTAACTCTGGTGTCGGATCCTGCTGGTGAGCTGATGATGTGACTGGGGCTGATGGGTCGATGCAGTATGGTAAATGGTTGACCTGAGGTGGGGATGTGTTGGGCGATGTCAGGTTTGCTCAGCTCAGGCTCTGGGCGGCTGTGGATCAGTGCTGGTCAGTCACTGGGACCAGTGATATGACATGAGCATGTTTCCATTCGCCTTATGATGTAGTTTCCAGTTATGGTGTATAACTGACCCAGTAAAACGCTCACGTGTGACAATTTGGCTTGTTAGTGAAAATCATGTTTGTGCATAAAATCTTTCTAAATAAAAGAGAAAATAACCAGAATTCCAGGTTTTTAAAAAATGACAGCTACAGTCAACTGCACCAACTTCACCGTCACAGACAGCGGTGGCCTTACACCAGGCCAAACTGAAATGAGACCGTCTGGTCTACAGAGAGTTTCCTCCTTACATTACCAGCTGTTCCTGCCCTTACGTTGCGTTACAAAGCACTGCCCCTGTTGCCTAGCAACCTTGACAGCTGCTCTGTTCTTTGGGGCGCCACAAAGGATACACCAGTTGGAGCCTTCATTACCCGGGCGGAAGGACGCATTTCTCGCCTGCATTTGAAGGAGCCGTCGAAATGGGACGGCCTTGTTGCGACACAGTTGGTCTTCAAGTGCAGCCTTCGTAGGATGTGTCCCTTGAATTGGGACACTGAGAACAGCAGCATTATTTATCCATCAGCCTCCCCCCTCTCTGAAGAGCGGCATCGGCCATCGGTCCACCATTAATTTCAGCAGTAGTGAGGGGATAGACAAGTTCCCGGTTTCCCAGGAGTTAAACACCTGGTCCACTGTCTTTTAGCTTCCACAAGTGAGACAACTCCAACAACAAACCCAAGGAACGTCATTCAGTCAGCAGTCTCCACAATCTCCCTATAATACTGCTGTCTCCCTGCCTGCAGTGCGATGGAGTCTAGACTTCTTCTCCAGCTCAGTCCAGAACTGCTCAGGTCTCAGAGAAAAGCTGAGTCATGTCACTCTGGAGGGCCTCTTTAAAGGATCAAACCTTTCTCTTGCTTACGTAGCATTTAGCCCTTCTGATGAACAGGAAACCCCGTGCTCTGCGTGTGTGTGTGTTACATAAGGCGGTGTGTAGAGGATCACATCAGGACAATGTGCTGACAAAATCGATGTGGGCTAATGTTTTCTCTGTTTGCTGTTGTTTGTCATGCGCTCTAACTTTGCTCTTTGGGCTTCACATACTTCCATGTCAGTCAATAGTAGTACTTCTGTGAGTGTAATAATGTAAAGGATACATACCATTTACTGAAAGCTTTTATCTGCACTGTGCTTTTAGTGCATTATGGGTTCTGAGTGAACTTCAGCTTGTACATCTCTGATAGTTGATGCACACGGTGCTGCTGGACTCAGACTGGTCCTGCTCATTGCTTTGGGTATAAACATGTTTGTAATGAAACTGCTGATAGATGAAGAACTGTCGTTTCATTTGATTCGTTCAGCTTGACGTTCTGGTCATACTACCGGCGTCTCTGTAGGAGGGGGAGTTGTTCGGTAGAATCACCTAGCTTGGTTACAGTCAAAGAAATATGATGATGCCAAAGAGCCAAATCTGCAAGTTGACCTACAGCTAACTGCTCTGCAGCTGTGTCCACCTCATTCACCTCTGGATGACCACACTGCTCAGGGACTAGAGGATGACATGGCTGTTTTTACCTGTTCAAACTGCTGATTGTGTCTATAAACAAGTCACTGTAGAAGGTGGAAATGCTTAAAAAGCCAGTGTAGTGTTTTGGCCATATTTTTAGTTTGTGGAGGTACTGTACATCTCTGGACGGGTTATGAGACGATGGGCTCCTGAGCACAGATGTGTTTTTGTTGTTCTGCATATGTACAGTATTTCTAGTCTTCCTGCTGTGTTTGGGGTCTCTTCTCTCTCTGTTCTGTGTCTTTGTAGTCATGTTTTTGTCTCCTGTTTCTCATATCTTTTTCTTGTTTAACTTTCCAACAGAAAGGCAGTCCCTTTACAGTCCTCTGGTCTAGGGGCCCCCTGACTCCTGGGGCCCCTTGGCCTGTTCCTGAAATGCCTTTTCTCTAATCCATCCTTAGGTATAGCCTCTTCTCTGAAATGTTATGCAGATCATTTGGTTCTGTGCTGTAGATTAGATGTCCTGAATCATCTTTTAGGAGAAACAAGTCCTGCATTTCCTCTGGAGGACTTTAGGACTTTTATGAGTGGTCTCCACCATAGTCTTATTAATATGAATGAAAAATGGGCTGTGCAGTCGGCTGTAGTCTGTGGAGAGGACGACAGAGATAAACTGTGTGTGTGTGTGTGTGACTCCTGCTAAAGCTGTGATCTGCTGCACTCTACAGTGTGAGGCTGTTGTCAGGCGTCTACACACACACACACACACACACACACACACACACACACACCCTGTGCACGGCCCTGTCCTTGCTCAGGGGCACCGGCGCAGTGCATATTAAATAAATAAATGTCTATATTAAATATTGAAGTTAAACATAATTACAGTGGGTACGGAAAGTATTCAAACCCCCTTAAAATTTTCACTCTTTGTTATATTGCAGCCATATGCTAAAATCATTTAAGTTTATTTTTTCCTCATTAATGTACACACAGCACCCCATATTGACAGAAAAACACAGAATTTTTGACATTTTTGCAGATTTATTAAAAAAGAAAAACTGAAATATCACATGGTCATAAGTATTCAGACCCTTTGCTCAGTATTTAGTAGAAGCAGCCTTTTGAGCTAATACAGCCATGAGTCTTTTTGGGAATGATGCAACAAGTTTTTCACACCTGCATTTGGGGATCCTCTGCCATTCCTCCTTGCAGATCCTCTCCAGTTCTGTCAGGTTGGATGGTAAACGTTGGTGGACAGCCATTTTCAGGTCTCTCCAGAGATGCTCAATTGGGTTTAAGTCAGGGCTCTGGCGGGGCCATTCAAGAACAGTCACGGAGTTGTTGTGAAGCCACTCCTTCGTTATTTTAGCTGTGTGCTTAGGGTCATTGTCTTGTTGGAAGGTGAACCTTCGGCCCAGTCTGAGGTCCTGAGCACTCTGGAGAAGGTGTTCGTCCAGGATATCCCTGTACTTGGCCACATTCATCCTTCCCTCGATTGCAACCAGTCGTCCGGTCCCTGCAGCTGAAAAACACCCCCATAGCATGATGCTGCCACCACCATGCTTCACTGTTGGGACTGTATTGGACAGGTGATGAGCAGTGCCTGGTTTTCTCCACACATACCGCTTAGAATTAAGGCCAAAAAGTTCTATCTTGGTCTCATCAGACCAGAGAATCTTATTTCTCACCATCTTGGAGTCCTTCAGGTGTTTTTTAGCAAACTCCATGCAGGCTTTCATGTGTCTTGCACTGAGGAGAGGCTTCCGTCGGGGCACTCTGCCCTAAAGCCCCGACTGGTGGAGGGCTGCAGTGATGGTTGACTTTTTACAACTTTCTCCCATCTCCCGACTGCATCTCTGGAGCTCAGCCACAGTCATCTTTGGGTTCTTCTGTACCTCTCTCACCAAGGCTCTTCTCCCCCGATAGCTCAGTTTGGCCGGACGGCCAGCTCTAGGAAGGGTTCTGGTCGTCCCAAATGTCTTCCATTTAAGGATTATGGAGGCCACTGTGCTCTTTGGAACCTTAAGTGCAGCAGAAATTTTTTTTGTAACCTTGGCCAGATCTGTGCCTTGCCACAATTCTGTCTCTGAGCTCTTCAGGCAGTTCCTTTGACCTCATGATTCTCATTTGCTCTGACATGCACTGTGAGCTGTAGGGTCTTATGTAGACAGGTGTGTGGCTTTCCTAATCACATCCAATCAGTATAATCAAACACAGTTGGACTCAAATGAAGGTGTAGAACCATCTCAGGGATGATCAGAAGAAATGGACAGCACCTACGTTAAATATATGAGTGTCACAGCAAAGGGTCTGAATACTTATGACCATGTGATATTTCAGTTTTTCTTTTTTAATAAATCTGCAAAAATGTCAAAAATTCTGTGTTTTTATGTCAATATGGGGTGCTGTGTGTACATTAATGAGGGAAAAAATGAACTTAAATGATTTTAGCATATGGCTGCAATATAACAAAGAGTGAAAATTTTAAGGGGGTTTGAATACTTTCTGTACCCACTCTAAAAGTGAAAGAAACATTAATGAACTCTGGACTCAAACAAGCAACGTAACTGTTGTAATGAAATCCCTGTGAACTGTCTATGTCTCGCTGGTCTGACTGGCCTCGACCCACCTGTGTGTGTGTGTGTGGGTGGGGTCTTTATATACTTGTGCGAACCATCCCCTGACGGAACACCTTTCTTGTGTGGACCTTTAGGGTGGTCCAAACGTGGAAAATGCTAGGATAGGCTCCTTTCATTCTAAAGAATGATCTGTCTAAGTTTCAGAAGATGTCCACATACAGAGAGTAAAGTCAGAAAAATGTGTGCCAGCTTGTGCT